CCTCGAAAGCTACAGTTATACCCATCAAGTCTCCTCTTTATGTGGTAAAGCTATACAGAAGATAAATGATGTATTTTTACTTTCACAGTTACCGAGAGGCAAATTAGTAACCTATGTGTCGAAAAACCTATGTTTTTCGGAGAGGAAATGGAAGGTCACATTAAGTATGCCTTCAGTCAATTCCACTGGCATGTTCACAGCTCACAGCTTCCATAAAGCAAACACCTTGAGAAATGTTGGAATGGTGCCCTAAATCCACATGCCCAGAATAACTACAAGGGAGTTACCTCCCCGAGGCAGCCAGTGTTGACAGTTCTGCTGGACTAGTTAGTCTCCCTGCTAAAAATGCTTCCTGAAATTAAGCACAACTGCTAGAAAATTGTCAATGAAGACATTCCAATTATGTGCTGCTACAGTGTGTCACATCATGATGTCCAGGATAGATTCAAAATTCTCATGCATATTTAAAGTTGTACTGTAGCACCACCAGACACTGCAGTTCATAAGTAGAACAGAACTGCATATAGTACGTATATTAATAGAATAAGCCGTTAGAGTGAAGAAACATTTTTTACGATTTACATTGTTCTGTTTGTAGTGCAGTACTAAAACCTGAACTTTCACTCTAACACTACATTGAGCCTATAACAAACCAAGACCTCTCCTCTCTGTTCTCTTGCTGTCCGTCTTTCTCCCTTCTGCAACCCTAAGCATCTTCATTAGTGATAAAACTAAACTGGTGCCATTTCCGTTCTGTAACTCGTTTTTTTTTTCAGCATAGAAAGTATGTTACGGCTCACTGTTTAAAAGCAGAAACAAGTGAAGCTCTTTTGATGAGAATTCCTTGTCATGTTTGATCAGCTTTTGTCCCCTGCAAATACCAGGGCAAGTACATCCCAGGCAACTTCTACCTTCTCCAACCTAACCCTACTGAGTTACAGGAGGGCGGGTGGGGTGTAGTCTTGTGTAGAAGGTCGGTAATCACCCTGGCTTGTGTTGCACATGAACTCCAAAGGAACTGAGTAGAAGCAGAAGCACAGATTTTTAGTTTCTAAAGCCCTTGATGGAAGGAGACATAGGAAGCAGTTCTCTGCTGTTACAGCCCGGGGCAATCCAGGGGCGAACGTCCGACTATAACTACTCATGTCAGACTCCATTCAAATGCAAACAAATAAGAGTGCCTCTCAGATACCATCAGGGAAAGGGGACACCAGGGCGAGTTTGCAAACAGGGAAAGCCCTGCTCTGAGTGTTGTGGTTTTTATTTTGAAGTCACCTGTGGTGTCTGTACAGATTTGGACAGGGGACCACATACTGGCTGGATGCAGAGGGTCTGAGTCACTGAATCAGCTTCCCACTTCTGAGTCCAATTACTGAACATCTCCCATACAAGTTACAACTACAGGCCTGAAGCCTGTGCCCCCACCTGACTCCTTTCCATCAGTGAACTTTTCTCTGTTATAGTACACATGTCCATGTCCATCTCCTTCTCTTCAGGTGACATTGCGGCTTCCTAATTTCGACTTGTTCCTGGCCAGGTTGTGCCTGTAGGCCACAGTGACAAAGATGAAAACTAATTACATTTGCCTATAAAGTGTTCATTTTGCCATCTGTATTATGTGAATAAGTTACTTTATGTGGAGCAGACTTTAAAATGTCACTGATTAATGTCTTGAACAGGGGATCAAATTTACTTCTAGAAAACCACTCTTAAAGGTGCAAGATCCTTCCACTAAACTTGCTCTCAACACCACCTTGAAAGGTTCAGAGGAACAGATGCATCTTAGCTGCCTTGGGACCTGCAGACATCAGTGATTTGTGCTTTGCATGAGCCTTTCAGGTCTTATTTGCATTTATTACACAACTGTCCCAGCTTTCATCTTAAATGCAGTTCGTTGAGAAGTACAAAGACAACACTCCTGATGGAAAAGGAGGTAGAGAAAAAACATCTGATTAAGTTTATGGCAGGTGCTGAAGAGTGTGGGAGGGTAACAAGCAGAAAACAAGACACAAAGCTGAGAGCATGCTATAAATAACGGCCAAACTTTCCACATCTTGCCTGTTCAGACACAAACCTCAACTCTGCATACAGCTATACAAGCAGATATGAACATTACTATCCCAAGTGTTCTTCTTATTCTTAACACAATAATGACAATATGGAAAACTTTAATTGTGGCATCTAAAGACAAAAACTTAGGATGATTCATTGCTAGAAAAAAGCACAAAAACAGCAGGCTATTTAATCACCTCATTACTAACTCAAAATCAATGGCAATTAATTGTGAAGGGGAATTAATCCTTATGGATCTTGATCAGAAACGCCGACTCATTTTCTAAAAGGCAGGATTTTAAATTAATTGATAGCTGCAGAAGGTGACTTAACTTTGAGGCTTCTCTTAAAGAAAGACAGCCACTAAACCCCTAGACTGTATTACACTGGCTGCGTTCACAGAATAAGCTTACTGTGTTAAGGCCAGTTTTAAAACCAACCACACCAGATTAAGAGTTATCAGCTGGATACTGCTGTTTTCGTTTCTACTCCCTGTGTGAAGGTTATCGTGTTAAGTACACCATCATGTGAAAACATTCTCTCTCTTGCTGGGCTCTGCTCACCCAATACTTCTCAGGATACAGGGTAAATCCTGTGAGTTTTGAATGAAAAAGCACTAAACTTGGGGAATTAAAATCATCTGGTTAAATGGAACACAGGGGAGAACGTACATATTTCCCACAAGTGGCACTGCAGACGTTCGGGGCCTCAGCGCTGTGAAGCAGCAATACCAGCATGCTGCCCGCTATGATTTAATCTAGTTTATAAATGAATATTCAGAAGAGACACCTGGGTGAGACATCCCTCTCTATGACAGTTTGTTTAAACAGCATGTCTCGCAGTAGTGAATCAGTCTCTAACAACTGTGCCAGTTAAAAAGCCAGACCGTGCATAATTAACTCCACCCAACCTGCGGAGTTACAACTCTCACATCATACTGACCGCTCATCCCTTGAACAGTTCACAACAAAGAGGCTAATGTTGCCGTAAAAAGACCTTACTGTAAACCTTTGTAATTCACTCCCTGTTGAAAGACACTTTTGCCAAAACCCAGTTTCATAAAGGCGTCTGAATAAACACTGCATGGCGCCACAGAGCACACAAAGGTGCCTTTACCCCAGAACTGAGGCAACCTTTCAGGAGACTGCAAGGCCCTCAGCAGAGGAATTATTACTAACTCCCTACCTCGACAGAGCAGACGTCACACCTTTCAGAAGCCATAAAGGCGAAGTTTGTAAAGGGTGCGCCTATAGAACACGGCTTGGCGATTCGCACGCAGAAATTGGAAATTCCAGCTTGAGCTTTTCTACACAAGACCAGTTGGGACACTACGACATGGCAGAACACCGCCCACTGGATATTTGTTAAGCTATGTACTAAAAATAGGCACAAAACACTTATGACTTCTGTCCCTGATCTTTTCACAAGATTGGAAAATGCACATACAGTATATTAGCTGTTCCAATGTGCTGACTTTAGTCAGCTGAAGAAACTTGCTTCCCGTCAACTGTCTAAAATCTGAAATCCTACACTTTTCAAATAATTACTAAAACCTTGATTAGATTCTACTTTTGCGTAACTCGTAGCATCTGAACGGTATTGTGCTTCTGAGCTGCATTTATCATTTTTGTAAAGTGCTTTCTAGGATGTCTTGGCATGAAAGGCACCATACACAAAACATTTAACCATAGTGTCTGCAATTTAAGAAACAAAACATGGGTAAAACTTCAACAGAAAACACAAGAATTCACTTTGAACAATTTGGGGCACAAGCAAATTCTAGAGGCATTAATCATGACTAGTTTACTTCCTTGAAATACAGGCAGTATGACACACTGAGAAGGTTCAGCATGACAAACATATACTCACACCTAAACAAAGGAAACATTGCAAAACTTCTGATCCAAATCCAAAAACAATTTCAAAAGTTGCAAAATCCAATTTCCTGGACGCAAAACATTTTCCTTGTTGAAGATGGCACTGTATAAGCACAGGCATATTTCACCCCCAAGTCAAATCGAATTACCATTCAGGGATACTCTGCTGCACTGCCAGAGATTAAAGGCGACATCTTTGAGACCGTGCTGTGGATGAGATCATTCTTTACCGATTGAGATCTTTTATTTTAAAATTAAATGGCAATTATGAATCAAAACCTAAACAAGTAGATGTGTTCTTTACTAATGCTCAAACATGTTTTTTACTTTTAGTAAAAACTAAAAGTAAATATATTAAAAAAGTAAAGTAAAAATGTATTAAAGAGTTACTGAACTGATCATTAATGGCAGATTAGGGGGTGAAATGGCCAGGCTTCATCTGCACTGAAATAACAGGATGTCCAGCCTGTTTTAGGTTTCACAGGGTGAAAATTATTTGATCTGAAGGTCAGAAGTGAAAAAACCCTCATCAGAATTTGGGAGATTTAAATAACAGTGCTACATTCAACATGAGCATGAGAGGTGTTAAGAGGAATTCCTATTAAATCTTCCACACCTAGTTATGCAACACAATGTTACAATATCCCATTGTCTTCTTTTGACACACCTGTAGCGAGTCAGCTGGTGTAGGACAATGAGGTTAAAAACAACTTTTCACATACTTACATCAGTAACTATTCCCCCATCAGAAAACTAAGAAACATGCACACATTGTTAAATACAGTACTATTCATTCAAAAGGATGCCAAACACTTAACATATACCAGGAGATCCACTTGATTCAAGACTAAAGTATGGCTTTCACCTGGATGATGCAAGGCAGCTGTCATAAGCCATCATCTCCACTACACAGGTAGAGAATGGTGAAACTGCTTTATCCATTAAGTTCAGGGTGGGCATTAAGTAAACAGACTATGTCAACTCAAAGAGGAATTCAACCAAAGCACTCTGAACACTGTCATTGGATTTTTAATGACCAACCTTATTCCAAGGGTAAGACAAGAAACCTACCTTCAAGTAAGAGCCATAGTACTTTGTTACATACGGGCTGTCGCACTGGCTCAAGACCGTGATCTCCTGCTGTATGTCTTCAATTTCATCCTCTGCTTCTTCCAGGTCGATGGTTTTAATGGCGACCACATTCTGTGTCCTGTTATCAATGCCTTTGAAGACTTCGCCAAAGGAGCCCTTTCCTATCCTCTCCAGCTTGGTGAAGAGTTCCTCAGGGTCCGCCCGGGTGTTCTAGTGAGAGAGAGAGAGAGAGAGGTGGCACCAATGTGAGACCAATGCTGCTGTGGTACAGCACAGGGTAATGTTAGGTAGACACGTGACTAGAGTAACATGGGATTGGTATGGTTAAAAGACAGCAGTCCTGTCAAAAAAAAAACAACATTCAGAAAAAAAAAGGAATGATTGATTTCAGCTGCATGAGCTCCATTTTCCTAAACCCTGTTTAAGGACTGTACTTTATTAGATATGTGGCAAAGCGCAATAAAAAGGGGTACAAGGATAAAAACCTGGAGATATAGTAAACCTCGCACGGCCAGCCCCAGAACTCAATGAAAACACGGTACTGTAAAAGGTTGGGGGAAAACATCAAGTCATTTGACGTGTTTATCGTGTCATATGAACACGGTGAGGTCAGGCTGGAGTTTACAGTATTTTTCACTAACAACTACTTCAGTCATTATGGGAGCTGTAATTCTATTGCATCAGGCACCTGTTTCATTTTCTTGAGTGCTGGCATAGAAATTAGATTGAGTAAACCGGATGGATGCAAATTAAAGATACAGAGAACCCTCTTTTCCTAACAGAGGAAGAATGCTGATCTCCAAACAGGCTTACAAACTGTTTAGCTGTTACTCCATCTTCACTGCTTCATCGACACAAAAGTACCTGGACAGCTGTCAAACTGTATCTGAGCCAGAAACGGAGAGCTGCTCAGGATACTGCATATTTTGTTTCCTTTTCTTAAAAATGCATATGATGCTTATTATATGTTACCTCATTTGTCTTGAATTCTGACTTCACATTGATAACATGAAGGGCTACACAATCCTTAAATGAGCCTCACAAGACTTGGCATTTCAATTGACAACTATACTAATAACACCAATACAGATGTTACAATACAACATGTCCAAACCACCCCTACTGGAAAGCGTTAATGCAAGGGTTGAAGAAATTTCTCCATTTTATATATTTAGCAATTATTCATCTGTGGGCAGTACACTTTGAGGGTGCCAAATTAAAATGTTTCCACTGTCTACATTTTCTGCTTGCCCTACCACTACCCTGTGTTTATACAAAATCAAAATGACACCAAAGGAACCAGGGGATAGCAATTTCATAAATTATCATATTTGTTTAAAAGAGACAGTCCATACTGGACTGTCCTTCTTATTCTTGATTTTTGTGCTGCCATTATGTTCATCTTCCTATTGTCATTTCTGCTTAAATGTCCTCTTTCCAATGGAAGAAGTGAAACACTGCATTTCATTCCTTCTGAAATGTAATTTCTTCCGAAAAGAAATCTTCAGGGATAAGCTTGTGCTGCACGGGTTTCGGTGCATAATAACATCCACCACACTGAGTCACGCCAGCCTGTTCTTAAAGAAGGCTTTTCAGAATCTGATGTACTTTTTAAGGGTTGGATTTGCTGCACTTCAACACTGCACAACAGTCTCAGCTATGCTGAAGGCTAAAACGGCGTGCTAGCAGAAGGTTGCTAGTCCAGCACTTGGCAGTTCTACAAACTACATATGTACTTGTGCTCCCCCTTCTACTTAAGAGGTAAAATAGTGATACTGTGGATACAACTGCCTGCTCAGTATACAACACAGAACAGACAAGAAATTATACAGGTTTAAAAGGGTAGTGTAAACTATTCATTAAGGTGTGTTTTTTTTTATATGTACGTGGTCAAGTCTTCATGAACAGAAACGCACCAGAGCCTTAAGTTTTTGGATAACTGGACTCAATTGAGCCTTCAGTTTGACTACACGACTGAACAGTGAACCATAATGCTCGCTGAATACAACACAGGGAAATGTGGCAAGCCTGTCTAGACAGTGTGCACACACTTTGCAAAACCAAACGATCACCAGCCTTTCAAAAACAACCAGTCCTCAAGGCTCCCATTCATCAAGCTGCAGTTAATAATTCAAAAGTAGCCGTAGGATCTACCAGGCTTTAAAAACAGCATATACAGTAACTGACAGCATTGTACCAGATTCCAAAGCAATTTAAATCAATTACTGTAGCAGTACCAACTCCAGGAGCTGCACAAAGGGATGTTTGGTATCGCATCTCTGGGAATGTGTCTCTAACAAAATCAGTAGAATTTGTACAAATGTAATCAAAAACGCATCTGCTGTCCTGTCCCAACAGACTCACGAGGAACAAGGAATGAAGAGTCTAACAATTTAGAAACCCTTGTCTCTGAAAAATCTGCTGTATAATTCAATAATTGTCGCTGCCTTTCGTGTGCTTTTACCAGGGACAAGATGTTAGAAATTTACACACTAACAGACCAACAGGATATCAGAGATTCATGAACCATCCAGTTAACTACAGTAATTACATCCTGGCCAAGAGATCTAGCAGCTGCCTCATTCAATATGAAGTCATGGCAATTCTGAACTGGTGATGTAATTGATCCTCCTTGGTAAGACTGTAGATTGGGGTAGGGATTTATAAATATTTCATAAAATATATTTATAAAATATTAAGAGTGGCATAAATGGCATTCGCAACTTAAACTGTAGATTAACTGCAGGTTAATAAAGTTCTTAACACTGAACCTTAACACCTGGTTTATTTGCAGGAGGCGCTTGTGCTGCTGTAACACTTCATTAATACAATAACAACCGGCTAGGGAACAATTTAAAAGTGCAATTGTGTAAACCCAGAACTAAAATGTGCCCTCATTTCCTTCTAAAATGCTTCAAAGAGAGCCCGAGTGTTCATGGGAGTCTGATGCTCAGTGTTTAATCCAGCATGCATTAGGAACCAGCTTTGTATTTTAACCATTTTAAAACCATCTAATGATGCTTTTCCTTGTCCCATCTGTACAGTTCAAAACTGTATGCACGGACCTCAGCACGCAAACCTGCACTTGAGGAGGTGGACACGGACAAATGTCCGGACCCTACTGCAGTCTGCAGCACTGCGTCATCACAGACCAGAAAGACTGCTGCTGATTAAAATAAAAATTGGAAAGCCATTCCTGTGTCTAACCTGCTCCAGTGTCGCATCAATCCAGATGTGAGCCAATATTAATTATATTGTCAGACAACAGCAAAGAGCCTCTTTTCCTGGCTTTGATCACCACCAGCTAAATGTGCAGGCTCACTCAAAGAGGGTGGAATGGATTAAATGAACTTTAAAGGGCTAAGGAAAAAACTTGAAAAAGCAGGTACCCTAGTCACCTTCCAGGTGGCATGAACGAAAGTCAAATTTTGGATAAGAAAAAAAGGGATCGAAGCATAGGGTTCTTCATCAGGGAAAAATAAACTAACGTAAAGACTGCACAAGCAGAGCAGCAAACACTATGAAAATAACATTTCTAAGACATTGTTATGTACTCAGAAGATGTTATTCCTCAAAATATAAGCCAGCAACTCAGTTTTTTGTATGATGTGAGGAACAAAAAGACTCAGAATATGACCTGGTTATTTGTACAAAGTGTTTCACAGAAGCTGGGTACTCTGGTGTGTCTTCCAGGGAAATGAACATCAAGGGCAGCAATGGCAGACATGTGCTTAAGATAAAACTGAACAGTTTGCCTAGAGATTGTAAATGTCTATCTTTTGTATTCTACACTCATTGTATAAATACGTAAGATAAAGGAACCTAAAAATACACAGTAGTCCTTCACTGGGACATGCAGTTTACACTCCGTGGTTGACAAGAAATAATGTGTAGTGACTTGGTGTGATATCTTAAAGTAAATGACACGATATTAGCATTTAGACATTACTGATAGCCAGTAAATCACAAGCCACATTTATATCGATTGCACAATAAAACCTCTTTGTGAACTGTTCTGTACACATGATGGTCCCAAACTATAAAGACAAAATATATAGCTTTCCACTTTAATTAGCGCTGGGTCAAAATGCATGAGATGAGGAGTGACAGAAGAGAAAACTCTTTTTCAGCAATTGTAAGCAATGTCTTTCTGATTCAACACAAAGTGAGTGCGTCTATCACTTAACAGAAGAATCAGGAAACCTCAAATGTAAATTCTACAGGTAAGATTTCCTCACTAAAATGTTTCCTAAAAGCCGTGTGAGTGGGACAGAAGCATGAAGTAATGGTTAGGGCAGTGTCTTCAAATCCTACATAGAACACTGTTGTTGCAAACTAGCAATACAAATGTTACAGTGCAAAAATTAAGCCTGACCGACCTAATCTCTTTGATCTACAGGACTACTACTTTATTATTAAGGGTTTATTACAAATACAAAATGATTTAAGTAACTTGTCTTGTTCACTTCACAGTTCCATGCATTACATTGATTAACTTACAGAGCTTGTTCCTTCTAACATCAAAGTCTGGTGTTACTTTACACAAACCAAACACTATCATGGGTTTTGTAGCTGTGAGCAACCTCACGTGGAAATGCCACAAAGAGATGCATACTGCTGGTCGATGGCCCGGGGTTTTGATTGTACTTGGGCTTTACTAAATGATGTAAGGATGTGAGAAGACCTAAATGGTGGTCAGTTTCTACTGATGAAGGGACTGCAAAAGTTTTCTTCAGAAGGAAGATTCCTGTCTGATCCTCTACAGCAGTGGTTCTCAAACTGTGGTAGGCGTACCTGCAGTGGTACATGGCGTGCCGCCAGGTGGTACGCCAAATGACCCTGGAACTGTGTTGTGTGCACTGAAAAAATCGGGACGGGTATTCATATCTTGTATTTTTATACGTGTCGAATACCCAGCCTACGTACTACGATACAGTGCGCGCTAATACTTCAGTGGACACAAGAGATACTCTGTAATTCTATACCACTCTATAGGAATGTGTGCTACGGACGCAAGTGACCAATTGTATTGAAAAAAAACTACTGTATCTCCAGCAAATAGGGAGAAAGGAGAATGTGCGTGATTTTGGAACAATACCAACATTGTAAACACAGGAATGCATAGAAATGCGTGCTACGAACGCTGGTAATCTTGTGAGCACAGGAAAGCGTGAAAAATAACAGAAAAATATTTAAGAACTGTTCTAAGT